AGGATCTATTGACGATAGCCTGGCCAATTTTATTGCCACACACGAACAAACAAGTATTTCTAAAGCAGCCAATTGCCTGCGCGACTTCAGCATAGAAACAAGAACGGCCCTACAGGAAGGGAAAGAAGTAGCTATACCTGCGCTCGGTAAATTCACCCAGCAAAACGGTATCATCCGCTTTATAACAGATCCTCATTTACAATACACCCCACCCAGCATCCCCATTCTGCGTACTGCTAAAAGACTGGAGGAAGCACCAAGCTTTAAAACAACCAGCCCTTCTGATGACTCTTATAGCCGTACCGGCGGTATCAGCGGCGGGCAAATTGGTATTGGGTTAGCGATTATCGCCATCCTGGCGGCTGTGATCTTCTTTGGCATGAAATTTTTTGGTGGGAAAGATCAGGAACCAACAGTGGTGGAGCAAACCAATAATCAGCCTGTACCCGTAGAAGTAGCAGTTCCGGATACAACGGTGCGTGATACCGTTATTCCCCCACCGGCTGTAACCCAGCCTGTAACAACTGCAAGTGCAGACGGGCTGAACCGGGTGATCCTGGGTACTTATACCAACCGCGCGGCGGCTGAAAAACGGGTAAAAACATTAACCGGTAACGGAAACACAGTGGAGTTAATCGCTAAAGATTCAAGCAGTTTTTATGTAATTATGCCGATTGCCTTTGCACCCGCAGACAGTGCTAAAACATTGGATTCTTTACGTAAAATGTTTAACCCAAAAGGAGTAAGCATCTATAGATAACATTATTAAAGTAACGGGGCTTCTTATCGCATTAATAAATAAAGTCCACCCCAAAATGCATATTTATTTTTTATTACAACTATAAAAATGGGTAGGAAATAAAAAACATTATGTAATATTGAGGTACGCTTATCATTTAAATATACATAAGCGACAGAAACGGGCATATAAGTTGTATAGTGCTGGAAATAAATTTAATTGAAAAAATACATAGTAAATAGTAGAAGTTTACGAAAACGGCATGAAATTTGCTAACACACTAAAATAAAGTCAAACTAAATGAAAAACATCAAAAATTTCGCATTTGCAGCTATGATTGCTGTAGCAGGAACAAGTTCTGTATTTATGACATCTTGCTCTAAGAGCGATGACGGATGCCCAAGTGGTTACATCGGTAGTAAATGTGATAGTACTTTCTCTGACAAATACTTAGGTAACTATAATGTAACCGAAACAGAAAACGGAACACCTAATCCTCCTGCATTTAGCTGTTCCATTACAAAGGCCTCTTCTACCCCTGCTACTACCATCGTAATCAGCAATTTTGGTAACTCC